GCGGGGGGAGGGGGACGACGACACTGCTTCACACTGCTTCACACACAGCACACACAGCACACACAGCTTCACACAGCTTCACAATAAATATTCGCTTCAGAATCTCCCCGAATAACAGCCTGTGGTCATTTGTACTGTTGGGTTTGTTTGATTAGATACGTATGGAGTCGTGGAGGAAAAGAAGTACTGTGCCCACTCTGCTCGGACCCGGTGGACCTGCGGGATCTGAGAGCCGCACGGGTTCAGCTAACTGTGGGGGGAAGGGAGGAAGCGACATTTGTTCTCACTCGAAGACTGAAGGCTTCAAACGAGTTAGACATGCCGCTGTTAAGGAGACCAGACGGAAGTAAAAGAGAGCGGCCCGAGACCAGACATGTATTGCAACGAGTACAGAGTGTGGTCCGGGAAGGACAACCGGAGACCCCGCCGGCAGAACTGTTTGAAGCAAATGCTTCAGATTTCCTGACCCCACAATTCTTCCACCTCTTCGCGCTGCAGATTTCAGACCAGCCGGAGGAGCGGAGTGCCGTGGACTTCGCCCTGAATCAACTACACCGCGAGGCCGCCGAACTCGGCTATGATGTCACGCAACATCTGGCCACCTTCGAAACCTTTTGCGACTTGACCCATGACGATTTAGTTGCCTCCGTCGTCCGCAGCTGTCCCGCCGAACTCTCGCTTGCCCCCTGGCGAAGCCACGTCTGCGCAGCCGCCCAACAAGTCGACCGCGAGCTTCGAGCCCACGACCTTCGCTCTCAAGAGCTATTAAGCGACCACTTGCCAGCAAAGGACTTTCACCAAACCCGGCCCGGGACACTCGCCTCAAAGTCGCCTACGCACGAAACGACTGAAGACGAGCACCACCTTGCAGGGTGTCACTACAGTGACCGCGACGGCGAGTGTGTTGACGATCTCAAGTGTGACGGTGGCCTGACTAAACTTGCGGAAGGGCTGCACTACCTCAAAGACCTTCCTCTATCGTCCGTGTATGACCACGCCGGTATGGAGCACGGAGACTTGCCCCCACTCGACGATGGGTATCAGCACTCCCGGCCGCACGGTCGGGAAACAGACTTCGATCCCGAGTTGGGCTCAGACCTAGGCGGGGACCCGGATCTGGAAAGGGACCTGGTCCGGCCGACAGACGAAGAGTTGCCCCGAGAGCTAACCGTCAGCGGAGAGAAGGCTGCGGAGGCGGATGCACAGGGCCACGCCTGGAATAGAACCTGCGTCCAGAGGGAGTTGAAAAGTGCTTTGCCGTCGATGTCTCAGATGCCGTCGTACGCGTGTTACCAGCACTACAGTGGCGAGTTACTGTTCCTCTCGGGAGCGGTGACGAAGCACTTGTTCCAGGCGGTGGGCGGTGACCCGGAGCGGTTGCCGGTGGCGCTAAGTTGCGTGAAGCAGTGTTGGCCGGAGGAGGTGGTGGTGGGTCCGTCGACGAAGAGTCGGTTTCCCTTCCTGTCGCACCTTCCTCAAGGTCTGACCGTGACAATAATGGAGGCGGACCTGGGGGAGGTGCTGGCGCTGCTGGCCAGCCGGTACCTGAACTCGAACCTGCGCATGGCGGTTCTGAGTGCACATCGGGAACACCTCAGCCAACTGAGACAACGACGCACTCGGGACCGCCAGCGACGCGCGCGCAAAGACAAACTCTACGAGGAGTACGTCAAGGCGCAGCAACCGCGTCCACCGCCAGCCGTCCTCGTGCACGACATTTATGAGTTCCCCGCTAGCTTAGATGACGCCCTTTTCCCCTCCCTGCCCCCCACCGACCAGGACCCTGTTGCGGGCCCTGGTGCCCTTTCTGTTGACCCGACTCGGGGGCCAGCATCCGGCACAGACCGCGATGGCACCGGCCCAGAAGGTGCAGGCCTTGAGGGTGGAGATCAGCGACCCTCGCCAGGTGCCAAAGACCGGCCCAGCTGGAACCATCGGCGGGTGCTTAAGGCGTCGGAAGAAGACTTCCCCTTTTTGCCGCAAGACGAATAAATGATGATTACTGCTGTCGTTGGTCGCGAGTCCTGTTACACCCACCGGGGCGCACCTCCGCTCTACAGAAGAGACACTACCCACTTCAGCCTTGCTTTCAAACCCCCCACCGTGTCGCCCGTCTACGCCAAACCCAAACCGTCCCCGACCACCGCTGCGGTACGCACACATGTGTCAAATCCGCACATGTGTCAAATCCGCACATGTGTCAAATCCAAACACATGCGTCAAATCCACACATGGATGCCACACACGTGCTGCAGAATGTCATCACTAGGGCCTGGCTCCGCTACAGACTGAACCAGGAACTAACGCTGGAACGTCTCGTGGACTGCCTACAACAGACACACACTCGCGCCGCCACACTGATACAGAGTGTTTGCAAAGGTAACTAACTGGGTGGCGCCCCCCCTTGTGTGTGATACCCCTTCCCCACTTTCCCTCCCTGAGCCCCACCCGGACCAGAATGGTACACCGTGAGCGTATCAGTATGTGCTGTAGGATACATCACGAGGAAGTTCGTCGGCCAGCTGAAAAATTCCATCTTCTTCCATCGTGCAGATATGGATCCCACTGTGCCTGTTTACGTAAGTGGCGGTCTGCACGGTAATTACTGTCTGCACGGTAATTACTGTCTGCACGGTAATTACTGTCTGCACGGTAATTACTGTATAGTACTCGACTAGTATTTGCTTAGGTGCACGGCGACTTCACCACCCCGCCATGGCAGGAACTGAAGCGGATGCGATATTGCAAGCTCAGAAGGTACTGTCTATGATGTGACAAGACATGTGTTTCTGGTAGGCTATTTTACCATGAGATAGAAGATTGTGTGAAGCGAAAGGTGCTCTGCAAATTCCTTGTTTCGGCGTGCTATGTTAACAATCCGTTGTATGAAACGGTAGATGAAAACGTAAGCTCGGGATGATGGACAGGATGATGGATGGGATGATGGACAGGATGATGGATGGGATGATGGACAGGATGATTGTTTCAGGCGAACCAATACGTCATTTTGAACGGAAAGGATTGAGAGAGGGACCCAGCTGAAGTCCCACGGACAGTGTGTGGCTCATAGACTAAACAAACCTAGGACTCACCGAGTTCAGGACTGAGCGAGTTCAGGATTTGCGAATGCATCTCAATCGTGTTTTCGACAGAGCATGTAACATAACAGTGACGACCTGCTAGAAAGTTTGACACGTAGACTATTTGAAACATAGACTGTGGAGGGTCGCGATCGACCCCCATCACTATCACTTGACCGACCCCCATGGCGATCGACCCCCATGGCGATCGACCCCCATGGCGATCGACCCCTGTCACTGTCACTTGACCATGTCAAAAATACCTCACCTCAAAATCAAAGAATAAAGCACGCCTAGTGAACCCCGCGCCTTGGACCTTGAAGTTCAGCCCTGAGTGGCAACCGTTATGCCGGATCATCCGCGTCTTGACCACTGGCTCGATCGCCAGGATTTTATATCATCACGGTGGTTATGTTCGGTTTGTGGAGATTACGTAAGTCTAACCCCCCC